TCGGCTTCTCGGGGTGGCTCACATTACTGGGCTATGACCTTCTTCATCTTAAAGTCAGCAGCAGCTCGTGTCCTATCTCCTACTGTAGCAAGTTTTCGTAAATATGTTTGTGAGGCTTAATGAGAAGGAGCAAAAGGTACTTCAACAGATCTGGCACCCTGAAGCTCCGTGTTCGGTTATTTTAATGCTGACCTGCTCACGGCTCTGAGTTACGCGATAGACATTAGCATTTTACCAGTTCTTTTTTTTTTTTTTTTTCGTTTTTCCTTGAGGCTAAGATTAGAAGTCATTGAAAAGTCCAGGCACATGACAAACACTGGGATAAATGTCAAGATTAGAGTTAGATGCCATCCTGTGATGTGTCCCCTGATACAGGTGCAGCATGGCTGGCTGTGGTCATAATCTTTTTTTAATGAGAGCAAATATTTGTCCCGTGGTTTAGTGTTTGCTCCTGAACCTGGAACAAAAAGTATGGTACAGTCTTCTAAGTGCTGATTTCTCTGTACACTGCGTACACTATGCTGGGTGAATGTTTGCATTGTAGCCAGAGGTATGGGTTGGATTTACCCAACAACAAGTGAACGTTCTCAGGAGAAGTTGACTATGTGAAATGATACTTTTCACTAATGGAGAAAGGTAGTTCTTGCCCTAGGGAAAGATTGTGTTAAAGAAAATGGTGACTACTTCAATTATGAACCATTATTCCCATCTGCAAAATGTTCTTAAAACTTTTAGACTTGTGAATTAGAACATACTATTCTAATTTTCATTGCAATTCTAGAAGGGCAAGTTTAAAAGAGTTAACTATTTTTATACACGTGCAGAGGCTCATTTCTCTTTATTACAAAGGCCCAGAGAAGGGAATTTCATTCCTGAGTATCCTTACCCTGGGACCACCGAGAGAACCTTTTCTTGTCTTTAAATATTGTCTGTGATCTGACTCCTATATAACGACACTCTAATTCTGATAGTTCTGTAAATGGACTCAATTATTCTACATTTCTTTAAAATACATATATTTGAGGTATAGATGTCAATCTACTCAGGAAGTAAATTGTACACATAAATATTAAAATTCAGATATGCTGCTGACGTAGAGGATACCCACATCCTTGCCTAGGGTGAATCCGTGGATCCAATTTAGTCCTATGCTAGTTTGTCATGCTGTATGTCTTTAAAATAGATGTATATATCTCAATCGCTTTTATATGCAAAACATAAAGAGGATGTAAAAGATGGTTAAAATTCAGCCTCCACCTTATTTATAATTACAGTCACCAGCCGTGAGCCTGGTTCAGGTACTACCAATTCCCCCAGCCCTAGAACTGTATTTTTTGTTTAATGTTTCATTCCCTAGAATTTAAGCTCCATGAGGGTAGAGATTTCTGTTTGTTTATTGACAGATTTCAAATGCTTAAAAAGGTGCCTAGTACAGAGTAGTCACTCAATACATTTTTGCTGAATGAATGAATATTTCCTGCATGTATTTTCCACGTATAAAACAAACATCTTTCACATGTAAAAGAAGCAAGAGCGTTCAGACCTGACCTAGAATCCATGCTGTGTTACAACCCACCAATGTCAACCTAGGCCAGTGTTTCCCCTCTGGACTATCATGATAGCGTCTCAGCAGCCAGAGTGATCCTCTTAAGTCAGGCCCTGTCTCCTCACAGCTCAGAACCCTCACTTGGGGGAAACAAGAAGACCAGGGCTGATGTGTGATCAGCCGGGTGTGCCGTTTCCCTTTCTGCACCCTCCTGATTTCATCTTCATCCATGTTCCCCACCACTGCCGGTTGGCACCAGGCCCAAGTCCTCTGTCTCAGGGCCTTGGCACTGCGAGGACATTTCCCATTTCCTTCAGTTCTGCTCAGTTGCCATGATGTCAGGGGACCTCCCTCAATGTGACGAGTGAAATACCATTTCCCACCCACCCCCATCATTCTGCTTTATTTCACTCTACCCTGATTTTCATTTCTTCATAGCACTTGTGTTGCCATCTCACATGTGTATTTTAATGTGTTTACTGCCTGTCACCCCCTCGATTAGAATATATTTCATAAGGATACTTAAACGTGTGACCTCACACATAGTATACATTTTAAATAAATGTTTGCAAAAGTAGAAGCTCTGCTCACTTTTTTAATGTGTGGAAGCCGTCACCATCGACAGTACACGTCCAAGATCAGAATGCATGAATGATTAAGGCAGTGTTTATTATATTCAGGCACCAGCAAATCAAAAAATGATGCAAGCAGTAATAGAGTCATTATTATGAACTTGGTTTCACGTAAGCTGCTTCTTACGAGACACACTTGTCCCAGCACTGCCCCCAGGGACGCTGCCCTCGGCGTCCTCCTACAGCCTCCTCTGAAGGTGTTGATCCGTTATTCGCACATGTAGGAAATCTTGTCTGTGAGATCGCTGTAGACTAGCCATTGAGAGTGATATTCGCCGTGTATTTCTGGA